TAGAGATAATTACTAGTAATGAGTTACTATGTGAAACATGTAATCAACTAAAATATATATTATAAAATATAATTATGATATTAACTAATATGCATTAAAATATAATCACTACATATTACAATATTTATGCCATTATATTATGATATGTTTTTCTATATATCTATAAAATCCTTTATGGTTCCTCCACTGAACTGAATTATGCAATATACTTAAGTATTATGTACTCAAAGCATTTTTATCCATTGATTTTTTTTAGGGAAAAAAATCACTATTTAGCCAAATCAGAGAATACAGGATTGTATGTAGGTTGTATAGATGATTTTAGTGATTTCCAGGATTGACTCAATTTTGTGGTGTAGAATTTCATCCAGTATTGAATTCATGTCTGGAGAGTATACCAGGTGTCTGTTCTTATTGCTATTGATTTTTGGACAGCCTGTGGTCAGCTAAATACAAAGGTCCATTAAAGCAGATGGCCCTCTTTCCAGCCATGACTCTGTTAGTCTTATTAATACTGCATTTAGATGTTTATAGTTCCTTTTTATTTCTTCAAAAACTATATATCTTATGCCTTCCAAAATCATGAATTCCAGTTCTCAAGTTAGTCAATTAACATTATTCCTGCTCAGTTTCTAGTTTATCGAATCTAGCGTCTATTAATTTGTCTTCATTTTCTTTGCCATAGTATTCTCACTTCTGTGGCCTGACTCATATATTGATAGTATAGCCTATGTTTTTCTTGGTGCAAAACAAAATCCAGAGTACCCATACTTCAAAGTCAGCCTAAGTTCAACTTCTTCCATTAAGTTTTTGCCAAATATTTCAGTACATTAAAGGTTTTGTCTAAAACTACATAGATGTGTCATCTGTCTGACAAAATCATATCTCCTTATCATCTCTAATTACTTCAAATATGTAAGACTTGTTTTATCAGCTACATCTCTGAAAGCATGAACATAAGCTTTAATTTCCTGACACCACAGTTAGTGTTCAGAGTATACAGAAGTTGCCTGATGGACTTATTAAATGGTTTAATAGTAAACAAAAATTACTGAAGCAAGTAATGATAGTAATATGGCATTGATAACTTCAGTTTGAATGAAATCATATTTTAAAAATGGAGTATTTAGAAGGTAACAAGCAATATGACATAGTGGTAGGGTATAAGCCCACAGAGCCTGGGTTCAAGTCCTTGTCCTATTACCTATTGGTTAGGTTCCCTAGAGAAGGTTAACTAACAACTTTGCACTTTAATTTCCTGCTCTGAAAATTGGGGAACAAACAATAGCTGCCTTCTCAAATCATTACAATATTTAAATGAGTTACCTCACAACTTAAAATAATTTGTGATTTGTAGCAACTTCTCCATGAATACCAGTTATTAGAAAATGCTCAATATGCATACAGTGATATCCAAGAGCTTAAAGAAGCTTTACTTTATAAGTGAATGAGTAGCGGAATAAAGGTAAAATGATAGGCTTATAGTCATATGGCTAATTAGGCAAAGTCAGGAAGCCAGCTGTCCTGACTTCTACTCAGTATTTGTTCACTCCTCCCTAAGGATCTACATCTGATCATGGCTGAATGATAAAATCTTAGCGTAAAAGGGACACTCAATGCTCTCTAGTTCAACCTTCCCATAAGGAATCATATTACATGGTCATCTATTATAAATCTTCCATCTTTGCCAACAGTGCCATTTTAGATTCTTAATCTACTAGATAAAAAGATCCCACTAACACTAGCACCATGACTCCCAAGTAAAGAAACACATGAAGAGCAGGAGTGGATGCCAATATTAGGTCCCATGAATTCTAGATGAGGCATTTTTAATATCTATCTTCTGAAAAATATGATTTCTTTTTCAGGGAAAACATTGTCTGGAGTACTCATTATAAAGCTGTGATTTGGGCCATCCCACACATACATGAGTGTTTTGCAGCTAGTGTGCTTCCCGGTAGGAATCTGAAATTATAATTTTGATGAATTCTGAACAATACTTTTTAGCAGCCAGAAAAAAAGCACAGGGGCCAACTATCCATACCATGCATAATTCTTGAAGGTTTCAGCTTTCTGTGTGGCTCTCTGGAACAATATTCAGTCTGGTTGGGCAATCAGCTGCACTAGAGCTTCTAAATTCAATCTAGCAGATGCAGACTCTCAAGAGGAATTGCAGCAATAAAAGTGTGCTATTAAACAGGCACAAATAAACCTGTAAGGATTCTCTCATAAGATGCAATAACATGCTATTCTCTGTCTCAATTCAATGCTAAGAGAAGAGATTTAATTTCTCTTTAATGCAAATGAAATTGTCAGCATGAGGGACAAATGAGAAAGCAATGGTAAGAGAGAAGGCTGAATTGAGTACTTACATGTCCACAAAGAATGTCCCCCCCACCACGCCCTTCTCTACTCTACAAACAAGACTCAGGGAATACCCATTCTCTGTATATGGCTATTTTAAATTAAATGCTTGATTGCAGTATATTCTATAGAAGATCCTGAGCTTCATGGCTTGGGATTTTAATGCTCAAAATAGGGAGATTCTATTATTTGTAACTGAAAATTGAATTACCTTCTTCATACTGAATGCATCATATCTCTGCTTTATGCTTCCATAGTATTTTATTTATAACTTTACTCATTATACTTTAACTTTTAAATACCCAGTTGTACATTTCCTTTGTACATTATAAATTTTTAAGAATAAAATTTATATCTTATCTCTATATGTTCCCAGATCCATACAATGTCTTGGACATAGTAGTTACTCAATAAATGGTTTGATACCGAGTTTTAATGGTACTTGTTAAACATTTCCCAACTATAAGGTAATAATGTATTATCACCTTTGGCACGCATTTCCTTCTGGGAACTCTTATTTTTGAAATGTTAACAACAGGAGCAAAATGAAGTCACTTATACTAAACCTCACATGACCGAACTGAGAATTTAACTTCATTACAGCTTTGTCTAGTCTAGAAATGGAATCTTAAATCAATCCATTAAGAACTGCATGATCAGTACTAGATATTTTTTTTTTTCCTAGTACTAGATATTTTATGTAATCTGCCTGGCAGGTTCCTAACATACCCCCAAAGAGAATAACCTTGCAATTGCCAACTTGCTTTTTTTTTTTTTTTTGTGATGTATAATTTCCTTTTTCTCTTCTTCCTTCTGACTACAAACCTCTCATTCTGTACTGCTCCTTGGAGCTCTTTTTATCTGTTTTCTAAGTTAGATGCTGGCTCTTTCATGAATTGTTGAATAAGACCAGTAAGATGTGTAACATTGGCTCAGTTGAATTTTGTTTTCAACAGAAGAATGAAATACTTTCGTAGATTGGTACTTTAATTTAGATGATGGTGCAAACAGTAAGTTGGACCTTATGTTTGAACTCTCACTTGTTCAAGGGGACCCAACTATCTCAGTGGGTCAGAAAGATGGAAAGAACTCATATGAAAGACCAGGAGGGTAGCCCAGAAAGACTATTGTGCCTTCTTTTAAAACCTAGCACCCAAGTCCTAACTTCAGGACCTAGTAAGCAAGTTAGGGTTCTGGCATTCCCAAGGTCTATATTTCCTCTTTAATAGTTATAGTTCTGAGAAACTGTCAGCTTATGTTGAAGAAACATGTAACACATGCCTTTGAGGCCCCACAGACCAGACTGGCTACTGGTTTGCATTATAAATTTGAAAAACAAAACAAAACAAAACAAATGCAGTCACTTGTTTGAAAAGTAGTTAATATTTCAAAACAGTGACAACAGAACATTAAGGCAAATGTAGGCACTGCTAAGCATAGAGCCCTGCATAACTGCACAGGTGTCACAAGCAAGCAGTTGTTTTTGTCTTTAAAAAGCTTCCAGTACAAGCAAAACCAAAAAGTATGCACCTAGCATAGAAATTACAATTTAAATATGTACAATATGTGCAATAGACTGCAGGAGCCCCAAAGTTCCCAAACTTTGTAAAACTGTTCCAGAGAAGTTGATGGTTAGGCTCATTTTTGATGAACAGTTATGGGGGGGGGAAAGATATTTTGGACGAATGGAAGGTAGAATTCATGTACTAACCTCAGATTTTTTTTTTTAAAGAAGGGTGGAACACATGAACATGAGGATGACATAATTGAGATTGAGATTAGAAAGATGCAAAGGCCAAATATAAGTGGGAAGGGGTCCAACATATTCCACATTTCTTCCCCTGTCATAATTGTAAGCACTCAAAAATTTTCTAAATAGGTTGTCATTCCTATTTTGCAAATGGTTTAGTTGAGACCCAGGGCGATAATGTTCAAAGACTTCAGGACACAGTAGGTATCCAATAAACATTTGAGAAATGACTGGCATGTTTGTCTGAGTTAAAGAACAGGACTCAACCTGTAAGCCAAGCTGATTCTCAGGGAGCTTCCCCGCTCCCCCCAACCCTCC